GTTGTTTTTAATGATTGGTGATAATTTTCTATCTGAATAATGTGTTGGTAGAATAAGTCGAATGCTATTTGTCCATTGTCTTTAGAAAAGTTTAATAAATGACTTGGGATAATTTGTTTCCAATTTGTTTGTCTCAGAGCTTCTGCCATGTTTGCAATGTTACCAGATCTGTATGTTGCTAATGTAGGTGCTGGTTTACTCTTGCAATATAATTAATTTAATGGAAAAGCGTGGACTATATCGTGATCTGACTTCCCAAGCGGTGGAAGGTTTGTGCATTTGTATACTGATTTTGGGACATTTGTAGTTATTATATCTACAACACGGTTTTGTCTGGTTGGTTGGTTATTAAGTTGGTGAAGACTATGTGAGTTGGTTATGTTTTTTGTGTTGGCACCGTTTAAGTCACTAGTTACATACATCAGAGGTTTGTTATCTCGTGTATTACTAGAGATAATATTTTCGATTTGGTGCAGAAGTTCGTAGATTGATGATTTTGGCTACCCACTTTGTTGGCTACCCACTTTGGTATATATGCGCATGCTACAATGCAGGATGACTAACTTCGTGGTAATCGTTGCGGGTAGATTCTAACTAAAGTGAGCTCAAGCTTGCCAATTTTGTTGTGGTCTTTGACCCAAATTGGTAATTCCATTTTAATTGGTGTAAGTGTAGTAAATTTTGGAGAGCTTTTTTTAATCAAAATTAGAGTCCCTCCACCCACTTGGTTGTTGCGTTCAGTATTATGATTTTATTTTGCTTGTTTAACCAGGTTTCTGTTATGCACACTAGATCAGTTTCGGTATCTTCCATGACTTGGTTGATTAATTGCGTTTTGTTACAAATTGATAAGGTGTTTGTTACAAGTAAAGATTGCAGGTATTTGGTTTTTGCTGGGTAAAATTTGGCTGCATTCGGGTTGTGTAGTGTTTGACAGAGTTTTTTTTGAAGAGGTTGACAGGACTTATGTAGCTTTTTGGTGGTTTTTGTAACAATTTTTGTAACGTTTTTATTCCACCTGATGATGCTGACCGCTATAGGTCAGCGAAATATTGTAAATATAAATATATTATATTTATATGTTTTAAATATATTTTGATATAACATCAAAATATGTTTAAAACAAAAAGTTTATACGCTGCCTTTTTAATCAAATTCATCAAACATAAATATCGTATAACAAGAAAATGATTTTAAAAGATAATATATATATATATATATATATATATATATATATATATATATATATATATATATATATATATATATATATATATATATATATATATATATACATTAGGGTGTGACATCCGCCCCCTTTATTCTAAAAAAGATCTGTTCATATTCTTAAAACCTTCTATTGGTTCTCACAAGAATTATTGGACTTAGGTGGAGCACTAGACCCTTGAACATATACCAGGTCCCTATTATTATATAAAAAAAAGTTTTTCAAAAGTATGTCATGTTGGGTCTCAAAAAAAGCGAAATTTAAAAATTTAATAAATAACAATTAATTTATAAAAAAATTATTATTTTAGATTTTTTTGCAAAAAAATGACCTTTTTTGACCTAAAAATTAAAAAAGTGTATTTTTTTCATAATTATCTAAAAAAAATTTCAAAGTTCTGGTGCTCCCCCTAAATCCAATAAAAAATTGAAAAAACTTAATAAAGTTGCTTATGAGAACCAATAGAAGGTTTTAAGAATATGAACAGATCTTTTTTAGAATATAGGGGGCGGATGTCACACCCTAATATATCGCCACTTTTATAATTTTATGTTGTTAAGTAAAGCAAAATTATGTTTTAGACTAAAGTAAAGATTTGATTAATACTTTTATCCAGTGTAAATGAATAACAACTCTCAAGGTGTATTAGATGAATTATCTTTTCGATTTGATAGTCTATAGTTAATAACAGATTTTGAAATTGTTATGAGTCTACAACACTTAATTTTAGCGAAATTCAATTAAAAAGTCACATCATAGAAGACAGAAAATCATCAATATCTATTTTCAATAAGTTGGCTTTCATAGCAAACGTGAGAGGTGCAATTTTTTAGCTTGGTTTAAGTACTGCATAATAAAATACATCGTTGTAAAGTCATTTTGATGGTCGTAAATTTCTTTAGCACACTCATTTTTTTATACATTTTTAGACTGTTTACTCCTGTCCCAATCTAACCTAGTGGGTTCAAAAAGAAAGAGCCACGCTGGAAACATGAGGGGATTAAAAGAATCAGTCTTTTTTTGAATTAATAGTCGGTAAGCCTAATGTGTTTCACTCAGCTAATCAAGTTTCATTTGCTTTTTTGTATTACATTCAAGCAATAGACTGTTTTTTATGTTTACTTGTTTTTTAGAAGTTGTAAACAGCTAGAAGTCGTAACCTGCTCGTATGAAAAGATTTCTCGACGTGAAATAGATAATTTTATTCAACAACGTCTAGAAACAGAGCTCTCTCAAGAAACAGAAAAAATGAAAAAATATTCTGTTGAACAATACTGTTGTTTTATTTATAAATTATTCTCCTATGTTTAAACATATAAAAGATGTAGAAAATGCTTCCTCTTTTATATTGACATCTAAAAGAGGTTTTTTTCTCCGCATCGGAAAGAAATTTTTGTCATACTTTGTATGAAGAGCAATTATCATTTTCATTTGATAAACTGGGTAATATATATAATATATATATATATATATACATATATATATATATATATATATATATATATATATATATATATATATATGTATATATATATATATATATATATATATATATTTATATATATATATATATATATATATATATATATATATATATATATATATATATATATATATATATATATATATATATATATATTTATATATATAGAATATATATTATATATATATATTATATATTTATATATATGTAATATATATATAATATATACTTTTACTTTATTTTAATTTTAGGTGCCCCATGAATTCCTTACGGTCTTATCACAAAGTACCGCCGAAGAGCATTTGAAGTTCACGCCTCCTTCCTGGGCAGAAATCCATTTTTTTAAAGATTTTTTTTTATGGGGTACTTTAAAAAAATTCTTTCAAAGTGATAATAAACGGTAAACTCTTTAAAGTGATAATAATACGACGTCTATTTTCAAAATAATAGCTTTGTTTGTAATATGCACTCAAGTTAAGAAAAAATTTTAACTCAGCTTAGTTTACAGTGAGTTAAATGAGCTGTCAATATAATAATACATAACTTAAATAATTATAAATAATTGTGGTGTCTTCTAGACGGTTTTTTACATACGTTTTTTGTGAGATTCTTATTGTATTTTATTTTACGTCTGATGACGGTCTGAGCTAATCAGACTGAAATATTACAAAAAGATTAGTACTTAGCTGTATTTTATGTGTCATATTAAATAAATAAAATACCAAGTACTACAAGAAATGTCATTGAAACAATTTAAATAATTAATATTTTTGATTTCTGTAAAGAGCATTATTTTTATACTTGTATATACATTTTAAAAATATTTAAATAAATTAAAATATTGCATTATTGTATTAATTATGTAAAAGCAATATGCGCGTAGAAGTTTCTCTTCTTTCATTACTTTTTTCTTTCATTAATTTTTCCAAATTTCTCCAAAAATAGTTTTACACGATTGAATTTTGTTAATATTCAGAAATATATTCCAATTTTCAAAACTTGCCCCTAGTGGTCCCAATTAAAAATATCTCTATTTGTTTGCAGTGAGGTACCGTTTCAAATACGAGGATTTATTTATTGTATGGCTGAAAAAGAAAGATAAAAATATTTTTGAGCACGTAAATCAAATAGTTGAAAATGCTACATTTGCTAAAAAAGCTATCTAAGCAATCTTAAGCAGTTTGTGCAAATTGACGTATCCTCCTTAACAAGTTTACTAGATATAACATGTGGTGTTTCCCAAGGGTCTATAATAGGGCCACTGCTTTTTCTCATTTATGTTAATGACCTGCACAATGCCTCAAACTTGCACAATGCCTCAAACTTGAAGATAGTAATGTTTGCTGATGATACAAATCTTTTTCTATCCGGTAAAAAAATCATTACACTATTTAATGACATCAGCATAGACCTAATTAAAATTTCAAATTGGTTTAAGTCAAATAAACTATCAATTAACTTGGAAAAACTAAATGGACTTTATTTCATCCAAAATCCCAAAAAACTTTTACCAAATGATATGCCTCAAATATATATTGACAATGCTCAAATAAAAAAATCAAAAGTTATACATTTCCTTGGTGTTTTCATTGATGAAAATCTAACATGAAAAAACCTTATCGAAACTTTGCGCAATAAAGTTTCAAAAAATATTGGAGCAATGTATAAAGCAAAAATTTTGTAAATAGACATTCCTTAATTCAACTTTACCACTCGCTAATTCGATGTCATATAAACTATGCAAACATCGCATGGAGTAGCGCTAAAAAAATTCAATTAGATCCTCTATATCGGCAACAGAAGCATATAGCACGTCTAATAAACTTTAAAGATCGTTATACTCATGCCAGACCTTTTTTGTTAGAAATGAATATTCTTAATATATACCAGCAAAATGTTTTTAATGTTCTTTTATTTATGTACAAATGAAAGATAAACCTGACCCCTATATCCTTTCAAAATTTATATGCAATAAAACAAAAAAAACAAATATGAGTTAAGAAATGAAAATTTATTCATCAACGTTATTCTCATATAAGTTTTGGAAGATCTCTTATAACATGTCGCGGAGTTCTTCTGTGGAAAAAAGTAGTTTTGAAAAATTTTGATTTTTCTCAAAGTTGAAGTTTTCTTACTTTTAAAATTAAGCTGAAAAAAGTTATCTTGTCGATCGAAAATACCTTTGAGTTCTTTTGAGTTTATACCTTTTAAAAAAGTGTGTGGCTTTTGAATATATTGTTTTATTTTGAACTATTTAGTTTTATGTTGTTAAATGTTATTTTATGTTTTGAAATACTGGTTAGATTTAAATTTTATTTCTATCGTTCAATCATTGTAATTATTTAATTGATTATATTTTTACTGCATTGTTAAACGGTTCTCAGTGACAGGAATTACAATCCTCTTTGAGTCTCCGTGTTCAATCTTCAATCGCACTCCTCAATCTGTGCGGTTTTCTACTATTTTTATTGATTTATTATTATTTATTTATTCATTTTTATTTATTATTATATATATATATATATATATATATATATATTTATATATATATATATATATACATATATATATATATATATATATATATATATATATATATATATATATATATATATATATATATATATATATATATATATATATTTTAATATATTTTTTAATATATTTTTTTATTTATTATTATTTATTTATCAATCTGTGCGGTCTTTTATTACCATTAAAAATTTATTACATAAAGGAATCCACAGAATACATTTTGAAAGAAAAATAAAATATTGACGGACAAATAAATAAGTTGAATCAATATTGACTATTTTTTGTCTAATAATAAAAAAATTCAAATCAGCTTTACTTTATTTGTGACTCTAATTGATAGCAAAATTTTAAATATATTAACTGGAACAAATTCAAACCAATATTGTCCGATATGTGGAGCTACTCCAAATGACTTTGTTAAAATTCAAAACGGAATCATTTAAGCCTAAACCTAATACTTAAAAACATGGCATTAGTCCACTATATGCTTGAATACAACTTTTTGAATAAACCGTCCACATATCATATAAATATGATTTGTGTAAATGGCAAGTTCGCGGTGCTAATAATAAGAAAATCGTTTTATGTAGAAAAAAAGACATACAACAACGGTTGTATTTCTTTTTTTCCACGTGAAGGTGTAAATTTTCAAACAACTTTGAAAATTTACACCTTCACGTGGATAAATCAAAAGTAGGAGGTTTTGAAAGTACCAACGACAGCAATACTGCACACCAAGCAGAGAAGAATCTGAAGCAGTATTGAAGAAAGGTCTGAGCAAGACATAAAATTATAAACATGATAGACAATTTCATGCTCGCAAAACAAGCAGAGAAAATCATTTGCCTAAGAAACAAAGGATCCTTGGTTCAAACCCCACCTCTGGGCAAGTTTTGCGACATCAGTTAGGAAGGAGGTGTGAACTTCCAATTAAATGATCATCGGCGGTGCTCTGTGATACGATTGTAACAACTTTTTGGAGTACCTAAATAAAATTAAAAAAAAATAATTCTAGTATTAATTTACATAGAAAAATTCGGAATTACCGAAAGTTCTCTCATCTTTATGAGGTAATAAGTTTACTAACAGAAATGCCATCCAATACCTCGCAACATCATATATATATATATATATATATATATATATATATATATATATATATATATATATATATATATATATATATATATATATATATATATATATACATATATATATATATATATATATATATATATATATATATATACATATATATATATATATATATATATATATATATATATATATATATATATATATATATATATATATGTATATATATATATATATATATATATATATATATATATATATATATATATATATATATATATATATATATATATATATATATATACTTGCCGTTTAAATACTGTTACAATAATGAATCGTATAAATTGAATTTACATGGCAGGAGCAAAAGAAGACAACAGTAGTCTTATCACTAAGCCCCGTTGTTAAAACCGTGTTTTACATTTCATTATATAATGTTTTAATACATATACATACATGTTTTACACATATACACACACACATCTACATATACACACACATATATACACACATACATACGTATATACATACCTATATACATAAACACACACATACATATATATACACAAACATATATACACACATACATATATTTATACTTTTTTAAATAAAAACCTTTAAATTGTAATTTAAATAGACAATAAAAAAAAGAAAGAAACAAATAGCAAAATACAAATTCAAAAACCAAATTTTAAAATAAAAAATTAAAAAGAGAGAGAAAAGCGAAATATAAAAACCTCGAGACGACCAAAAGAAAATGTCGTATTGAGTAAATAGTGAGTAAATTTTTTTTAACTTAGTTTTAAAACATTTAAACTTAAAACTATTTATAGTTAAATATAGTTAACAACTATATACTGGAGAACTGAAAAAGCAAACCAGTCAGTTAATAATAAGTATAACATATAATATTATTTTTGAAATATACAAATAACTTATTACATTGTCAATTTTAAGAAGTTTTTGTTTAAGTTTTATTTTAAACTGGTAAAGGTAAACAATATTTTTTATATCTTTATTAATTTTTGTATTCCATAATCTGGGCCCTCTATTTGCAATTGAGAATTTTGTGGCCATATAATATGTTTTGGGTTGTTTGTAGTTCAGATTTGAAAATCTGGTAGGGTAAAAATGATTTATTTTATTAAAAAGGGTATTA